GGACGTGGGCTCTGGGCTCTCGCGGCATCTGCTACCTGGGCATCGCTGCCATCGCATGGGGTAAGCTGCCAGCTCGGTAAGCCCAGCGTGACACTGCTTCTGAGGGGTCTGCAGGTCCGGGAAACTGGAGGAGGGCAGCAATGTTATTTCGGGGGCTCACCAGTCACACCCCCTGTGGCTGCTAGCCCCAGGGCTGAATCCTTCTGGGCTGGGAGGGGGCTGCGTCTGCCTGGGCCAGCTCCCCCAACCAGTGCTCCCCTGGGGAGGCCCAGGCCACGCACGGGGTCCCCGCAGGGTGTCTGGTTCCCCAAAAGGAGCGTGGCAGCTGGTGCATTGTACCGTGAATGGGAGAAAAGCAGCAGCAGCTCTACCCAGTGCCTACGCCCTTGCCCATGTTGCTGAGCTGGGCACAGACACAGCCACAGGACCCACAGGTCGGGAGCACAGCTGGGGCAGCACCACACAGAGTTAAAGCTGCTAATGGACATCAGGAGAAGAAACGAGAGTAGAAACTAATTTGTTTTCACTGCCTGTAGGATATTTCCTTCAGACATCGGAATTGCAGAGAGCAAAACTTGCCGGTGCCTGCTCTGTCCCTAGAGCTCCTCTCCGAGCTGGGTTACTTTCTAAAGAATCTTTCATGATTGAGCTAATGAACAGAGGCAAATCCAGAAGTGTCAGGAGGAGGCTGAGATTTAGCTCTGAGAGGAAAACAAAAATGCAAAGGTACCCCGAGTGTGGCGAGTGCTGAGCACAGCCCTCGGGGGAGGCACTGGGGGCTGCCAGGGGAGCAAGGGCTCAGAACGAAGGCAAACAGCACCCACCTGGGGGTTCAGCTCCAGCTGCAGCAGGGAGGGGTAGCATAAGGCTGAGGGGAAGGAGGGAGGATGAGCTGTTTTACTGGTAAGGCTGGAGAGTGTGGGCATGTTGTGGATGGGCTTCCTTGCTCCTTCTTGGTTTGGGGATGGAGTGTGCAAGGATAGTGGGGTGGCTGAGCTGTGCTGGGGAGGTAGTGAGGGCCAGGAGGTGGGGGCTGAGGATGGGGCAGGCTCTCAGGAGGTGCCCTGGGCTTCTATCCTGCAGCCCCAAACTCCCAAAGGGTGAAGAGGAGGGCTGCTGTTGAAGGTCATGTTTTCCTCAGCTACAGTTTTGTTGAACAAAGTGGATAGTTTGCTCTTTTACAAGGAAAACCAGATGAATTATGGGAATTTTTTGTAGAAAAATGCATAATTACTGACCAAACTAGAGCCTTTGTTAGGCTTGGGAAGCCCTAGATCTGATCTGTGATGCCCAGACCTTTGCCTGCAGGACCACAGTGTGATACGCTCTCCTGCGACACAGGGTACCCCAGGTCGGTTGTTTGGAGCAGATTTTGATGCCCATCTCACTTTCTTCACACATGGAGATATGATCCCTGTATCACTTTCTGCAGTTGTGGAGATACCTGCTTCTGGCGAGGAAGGAGGAAGTTTTTTTTTTTTCCTGTGGCTAAAACCCTTTGATTGCATCAAGTTGTGGTGCGAAATACTGTAAATAAGAGCAGGGTTTCAGCAAAGTGCCCTTTGCTTTTGGGTGTGGGTTGCAGTTAATCTCTGGCTTTGTCCTGCCTAGCGGACAGGACCAGGATGTGAACTTGACTTTTGCAAGACGTTGTTTTGTAACACTGAATATTACAAGACTCTTCAGACTACCTCTGGCTGGGATGAGCAGCTCATCCAGGATCCTAATGCTTTTGGGGCGTGGGTGTGCTCATTGCTCTGCCTCTTTCCAAGCTGATGCTCATGTAGAAGTGTAAAGCAAGAAAACTGAAGTGGTACACTTCTGCACCCTTGCAAGGAACTGTGTTTTAAGGAACCATCTTTATGTTGGGATTTGCCCTTTGTGAAACCTTTGTGGGCAGGGGAGCTTGCACCCCTTTTGCTGGAGGAGGGGCTGGCATCACTGCTTGGGGCTCTTCTGCCACCTGGGCTCTGCCCATCCTGTCCTGCGCTGCTCTGTCTCAGCCTTCACCCCATCCTTCCCACCTCCCTCATCCCTGTGCCATCCCCCTCTGTCCAACCTCAGCTCCTTCTGCCATGCCCCATCCACCCAGGTCTCCATGAACCCCCTTAGAGCCCCATTCTCACCCACACTTGTCCCTTCATTCTATCCCCTTGGCCAGCTGGTTGCCATCATCTCTTGGCCCCAATGGCAGCCCTAGCTCGCCCTCATGTCCCAAAAGACCCCATCCCCAGCCCAGCTCCCATCTTTTCTGTGGCGATCCCAGACTGCATCATCTCTCACAGGCATGGTGACGTGGGTGGAGGTGGGTGCCTGGATGTACCACTACAGCACCCAAGAGGACTACACGTGGGAGCAGGCCAGGAACTACTGCCAGACCTTCTTCACCGACCTGGTGGCGATCCAGAACAAGCAGGAGATCGAGTACCTCAACAATAGCCTGCCGTTTCACAAGCGTTACTACTGGATTGGCATCCGCAAGCTGGGTGGCACCTGGACCTGGGTGGGCACCAAGAAGGTGCTGACAAAAGAGGCGGAGAACTGGGCAGCCAAGGAGCCCAACAACCGCCGCTCCAATCAGGACTGCGTGGAGATCTACATCAAGCGGCCGCAGGAGTCAGGCAAATGGAATGACGAGCCCTGCAACCGGAAGAAAAAGGCACTGTGCTACCAAGGTGAGCAGGGGCACCACGGCATGGACCTGGATCGGGAGGGCTGGGGACCTCGGCAGGGTGGCCAGTGGCTCCTGACGACCGTCCTCTTGTGTGTGCAGCCTCCTGCCAGCCTTTCCCGTGCAGCCAGCACGGTGAGTGCGTGGAGACCATCGGAAGCTACCGCTGCGAGTGCTACCCAGGCTTCCGTGGCCCCGAGTGCGAGGATGGTGAGCTATCCATCCCTGTCCCTCCTCCCCTGAGCCCCGGCAGCACAGTGGGCGAGCTCACCGTGCTCCTGACGGGCTGCCGGTGCTGCATCTCTCCCAGCTGTGCCGTGTACTGAGCTGGAACCCACGGGCGTGCACATGAACTGCAGCCATCCCTTCGGAGACTTCCGCTACAACTCCACCTGCGAGTTCGAGTGCCAGGAGGGGTTCGAGCGGCGAGGGGCGGGCACGCTGCGGTGCCTGGCATCCCAGCGGTGGTCAGCAGACACCCCCACGTGCACAGGTAGGGCCTGGGGGTCTCAGCAATGCAGCATTGATGCTCGGGGGTCCAGCCTGTGCACCCAACGTTGCTCCAGCAAGCAATGGGCTGGGCTTGCCGTGCCCCTGCCCTTCGCGGACGCAGCTCCCGGTGCTGCACGCAGGAGCTGTTACCCAACAGGGCTGTGAGCAGAGTGGCTGTGACGCTGGATAAGGCCTCTGCTCTGCCCAGCTGTCCCTGTGCTCTTGCTCCTTGTCCTGAATCACACCCGGACCCTGCACCCAGCGCAGTGCAGGATGGTGCCCTGGCACCTCCAATACCCCGCTGGCACTGTCTGCTCCTCCCTAAGCCCACCCCGATCCACCTTGGGAGGGTGCTTGGCATCTCGGGGGGTCCTCGGAGAAGAGCGAAGGGGGCTGCTATCCTGCGGCTGGGGGAAGGGTGTATTCTGGCAGGGCTGGGCCAACAAGGGTGGGGCGAGGACCGGTGAGATGAGGTTAGATATA